TTGGCATTCTTTTGAAAACTGGGAAACCACGTTCAATCTGCAGATTAACCAGTGATAAAATAACCTAGTTTGTTATCCAGTGATAATTATAAGAATACATTTCCTTACACGCAGTCATACGTGGTCTCCTTGAGAGGCACACAGTTGTATTTAAATGCCATGTCTTTCTCAAACGTTCACCCTTACTATCATAAAGAGACAAAGATTCCTCGATGTAGGACCACAGTTGAACCCCAAATCGGCATTGCTAAGCAAGACATTTGTTAAGTGAAATTTTGCCCCATTTTATAGCCTTTCTCGCCACAGTTGTTAAGTGAATCCGTGCAGTTTAGGTTAGTAACACAGCTTTGAAGTGAATCTGGCTTCCCTGTGGATTTTGCTTCTCGCAAGGTCACAAAACCTGATCACGTGATCCCGGGACACTGCAACCGTCATAAATATGAACCAGTTGCCAAGCTGAATTTTGATCACATGACCCTGGGGCTACTGCAACGGTAGTAAGTGTGAAAATGGCTATGATTCAGTTTTTACAGTGCTGTTGTGGTTTCAAGCAGCCGTTAAATGAACTGTTGTAAGCTGAGGAATCTATATACTGTATCTAAAAGCGAAATGCTACTCACGCAATCATCACAAAATCTCCAGAACCGTAAAGCATACAAACTTGAAATTTGGCACGTATGTTCCTCTTGGCTTCTAGGGGCTCACTAAGAAAAGATTTTTCGAAATGACCATTCAGAGCATTTAGAATATTTCCTATATTATTATTATTAACATGCTCTGATGCTAAGGAGTTCGACTCCCCCTCCCCACCTGGAAAAAAGAAATCTCTTCCAAGTGCAAAACACAAGCAGAGGAGAGGAGTTTCAGTTTCAGTTTCACAGCACCGAGCAGCTTTAGTACACAACAGTTGAGCTAAGCCACGCCCTGTCTCCTTGCTCGCACAGCAAATACTGTTTCGGTTTCCAAACAGCCCTCAACTCTCTCACACACTGACAGGACGCTAGCCAGATGAATACCGATAGATGTTGCTAGGCAGAGGCAGAATATTTTTCCCTTTATTTTCCTCCCCCCAAAATAAGCCCGACCACATAGTTTCATAGTGAAGCACGGGTATCGAGCTAGTAGCTCTATATATATATGAGTGTTAAAACTCATGGCATCACGTGACATATCACTTTTTCTCCCTTCGCTAAACCGGGCATGGGAGTGGCCAGCTCGTGATGCATCTAGCCCATGCGCCGTGAGTTTAACACCCCTGCTACATAACAAGGGTGTCCAACCTTGGCAACTTTAAGAATTGTGAACTTCAATTCCCAAAAGCCATGGCTGGGGGATTTGGGGACTTGAAGTTCCTTAGCCTTAAAGTTGCCAAGGTTGGACACCCTTGTTATGTAGCAGGGGTGTTAAACTCACGGCGCATGGGCTAGATGCATCACGAGCTGGCCACTCCCATGCCCGGTTTAGCGAAGGGGGGAAAAAGTGATACGTCACGTGATGCCGTGAGTTTTAACACCCCTGTTATATAGGATTAAAGGACTGATAGCTTCACTGCGGGAAAGAATTTGGTATTAATATTTAACTCTTGTTTCAGAACCATAAGCTATCGCCTTCCGCTATCACAAAGAGACACCGTCCTTATTGTCTCTTTTACATACTGCGCTATCCCCTCTTTTATTTTGTTGTGTGAGGGAGGCATATAGCTTTCCAATTTTAGGATATTCCACCAGCTTATTATATTGCTTTTTAATGCGAACAATAATATTGGCAAATTATGTCCAATGTTAACTTTCTCATTTATTGAAAGTTCTTTTTCTTTTTGTTACGGAGTTGACACTATTTATGTTTATTGCCATTAACTTGATTTCTTCTTCCATTTTTATTTGTAAATAGGTTTTGCCGTTCTGGTCGTCCTTCTCTCGCTTGCTTCCGCTTTTTTTTCCCCCTTCTCTTGTGGCTATTGGTTCCCAATCTCTTCCCTCTTCTTTTTGTCAATCATGTTTCACTCCGACCACTTCTTCCTGGTGTCTTTCCTTTCGTGGTCCAAAATAGTGACCATAAAATTGCTCCGCCTTCTCTATTGAGTCCAGTCTGTGTCTCTGTTCCCGCCAAGTTACCAGTATCTGGGATCAGCCGTCTAAAATTTACCGCCATTTTAATAAAATGTTTTGTCAAAAACCGATATTCCCTTTTTAAATCTCTAACTCTTCTTGGTATTTGCTTTAGAGCCACTGTTTCTTTCCTTTTGTAATTTAAGAGACACCACCCTTAAGTCTTTTTAATTTGAAGCAAGATGGAGAATATTGAAGGACTCTCCGAAGTTATTTTAGGGTTTTCCTGAAGTAATACAGCAAAATTATAACACTTCTCCCTTGGGGGGGAAAAAAAATTGTGCAACAGCATATGCCTTGTCCTGAAGCATCTGGTGTTGATTGACAACAGCAATCAGAACGGAGGATAGGAGGATTTGGATCCTGTTTGAAGCAGCCCAATAAGCATATTAAAAAAAGGATAATTTTCTTCTTGTTGACTCTATGGATGCCGCTGTCTTTGCAGCGCAAGAATTGCCCTGGCACAAACATGCAAAGTAGCTGTGAGTTGACGAAATGGAAGTGTTTCATTGTTGGTTTTTTTCCAGGAGCAATTGTGTGAAGAATTGACTTCTTTTGACCTGACTCCCTATGACTTAGCTTCAGCTATTGATGCCATCAACATCGTCTTAGAAGACCAAGCCAAAAAAATGGAACGGAATGAATTTAACGCTGAATTCAATACGGAATATGTCCATTCAGGTAGGATTGCCTCCGCGTGCAGGAACCCACAAACGGACTGAGCCACCGAAGAGTGGAGGGCGTTGTTTTTTATAGTACAGCTTAGTCCTCAATACGCGTCATTTGCCACGAGGGTTGTAAAATGTGTCAATCGTGTCACCCAGTCTGATTTTACAACGGTTTTTTGTGGTGGGCGTTAAGCAAACGTGGTTGTAAGTGCAAGCACCGCAGTTTCAAGTGTCAGTACAGGAAAATATTTGTAGCTCAGGGCAGAGGTGGGATTTTTAAAAATTTTTAACAACTGGTTCTGTGGGCGTGGCTAGGTGGGTGTGGCCATGTGATGGGGTGGGCGATGCCTTCTTTTTTTGCAGCAACCCTCGCCCCCGGTTTTGGGGCCTCGGAAGCTTCCGGGGGGGGGGTGTTGCTCCCAGGAAGCTTCCCTGAGGCCCAAGAAGGCAAAAAATGGAGCCTGGGGGGACGCGAAGCACCGTCCCTCTCTCTCCGCGCCCCTTTTTGCCTCCTGGGCGAAGCAGTAAGACAGCAAGGGGGATACCGGCACAGCTGATCATCGGATCAGCTGATCGTCGGCAGGAGGGGAAAAACCTTAAGGAGGGACTGGACGGGGGAGAATGCAGTCAGCGACGTTGCGCATGCGCGATAAGGACTGTCCGGGTGGGGAGGGGAGGGGTGGGCTGAGAAGGGAGGGGCCAGCAAGGGGCACAGTTTCCCGGTTCTCCAAATTGCACAGAATCATAACAACCGGTTCCATAGAACCGGTTCCAAACCGGTAGAATCCCACCCTTGGCTCAGGGTTGAAATGAGAGCCTCCTCGGTGCTCTCCGAGCTTCCTTTATTTTTCTTGCAGACGTTTCATTACCCAATTAAGTAACATCATCGGTGCTAGTTGTAAGGGTGATCCATTATAAGTAGTCCTCGACTTACAACAGTTCATTTAGTGACTGTTCAAAGTTACAATGGCACTAAAAAAGGGGACTTATGACCAGGTTTCACGCTTAGCACAATTGTAGCATCCCCGTGGTCATACGATCCAAATTTAGACGCTTGGCAACCGACTCATATTTACGATGGTTGCAGTGTTCCGAGGCCGCGTGACCCCCTTTTGTGACCGATTCACTCAACAACAGTTTGATTCATTTAACAACTACAATGATTCACTTAACAATTATGACAAGAAAGGACAAAAAAAATGGGGCAAACTGGCTTAAACGTCTCACTTAGCAACAGAAAGTTTGGGCTCAGCTGTGGTCATAAGTTGAGGACTACCTGTATTTGCTATGGGTGGCGGTTTTGCCAAAAACCAGAAGTTAAGTGCCGGTTTTCAGCCAAACTGCTGTAAAATGTGACCAGTGGTAAGTCGAAGGCTACCAGTAAACATACTTTCCCTTGTGTTGAAAGGATAACTGAGGACAATTTCAGCATCCAAATAGCTACAGATAGTAGAGAGAGAAAAATTAAACTGATCCCAAACACTTTTAAGACTTTTAAAATCTACAAAATGTTGACCCTAGCCAGAAAAAGAAGCGGTGACGTTTAGTAGCCCTAGAAGCCAATCCCAGTTAGCACTCAAGTAGTTCTATTTTAGGCTAACCGAAGTTTCGTCAGTCATCAAAGATAACAAAAATACATTGCAGTGGGTTTTTTTTCTCTCTCTCTCTCTCCTGGATTTACCCTTGACTTTTAAATATATGATTCCGAGATGACTTTGAAAGAAATCTTCTACCCACTGTCTCTTTTGTGTATGCACTGTTGAAAGAAATATCCTTCTGGGTTCGGTTCCAAGGGTGGCGGAAGAAAGACACTGGAAACATGGTGACTGCATGGGAAAGATGGTTTATTGATGAACAGGATGGGTTCCTGGGCACAAAAAAAGGGCAGAGATGCCCTCTATTGGGATTTGAGTGCGAGCTTGTATTCTGATTGGTTGTCAGGCTCCCATGGGGCCAAGCAGGGACAACACTCTAGGCTGTCTCGAGTCCCAGGCTTGGTTGAGCCTTACTGGATGATGATGTAATGAAAGGGCTTTGAGCAATTCCTATAATAGCTCTACCTGGAGTAGATCTTTGTTATGTAGAATAGACTGGCTTAGGCTGGAGTAAAGTGGGGGGACGACGCCTGAGTTTCTGCCTCTTTGAGTTTCTACTTTCCTTTTTAGGGGAAATACTCTGCCTTTTTAGTATATCCTAAAACACAGTATTTCATTTTCCTAGGAGAGGGGTGGGCTTCCAACAGCACAATTACCGCTGTTTGGTGGAGGATATTTGGCAATAGGGGTGCTAAAACTGTAATTCTGGGCCAGTTTGGGGCACGGGGATTTGAAGGGATTTCTTTTTTTTGGTCAAAAGGTCTAGTTTCTTTCTTTCCCCCCGCCCAGTCTCAAGGAGTAATCGAACTCTGCATGGTTTCATAAACATAAGAGACAGTTGTCAGTGTTCTGCCGTGGGCACAGCCTATCTCAGTGGGATTGTGTGGCAGGGCCGTTTTGAAGTGGCTTGCAAGATTCCCATTAAGGTTCTTGAGCGACTACCTTCTGGTCTTTCAATTTTTTTCACCCGCCACAGAAGTCTGAAATAAACCTCTTAATAATAGGTGCAGGTATATGACGTGAATATTTATCTTTGCGTGAATATATGGAATGGTAGAAAAAAGTGGCACCTGTAAGTCTAAACTGAAGGGGATCTCCTTTTCTTTCACAGGACTGAACATGGAACTTGAAGATATAGCAAAAATAAAGCGTGAGTACCTTTTTCCTCGTGAGTTTTCAAACAGAATGAAGAATAGCTTTTATCCACGGGCCATCAGACTTTGAAACGCAACATAACACCACAATCAGGCTTAATGTGATACTTACAGTGCCAGTGTATATACCAGTGTAATATGTACGTATGTATGTATGTATGTATGTATGTATGTATGTGTGTATGTGTTGTAGTTTGCCGGCAGCAGGTGCGGATGGCTGAGGTCTCGGAGAGCGAGGACTCAGATGAGGGCCCTGCGTGTGATACAGGGATGGGGCCAGGACCATCAGGGAGTAGAATGCTGCCTTCAGAGATCGTGGAGGCTGGCAGCAGTGAGGAAGAGGTCCCCGAGGAGCCTGTGCCCAGGGTGCATGCACGCAGAGCTGCTCGAAGAAAAGAGTAGCTTTAGCAGCACAGGTGACTCGGGAGTAAGGCCCCTCTCTGAGAAGATAAAAGCCAGCTGAGAAACTGCAGTTTCTTTGCAGAAGGCAAAGAAGTTTGCTACTCGGACCTGGTGGATATTAGGAATATCTGAGTTCGTGTTTGGAGATTCTTTGATTTATTGTTTAGGAATTCTATCTGTTGTTCTTGGCAGCCTTGCAAAAATTTCGCAAGGCTCTTCCTTATTGGAGCGAATTAGTTGGAAGCAGCCTTTTATCTGTGAAGAAACAGGATTCGTAAATGAAACATGAAAAGGTTGTACTGTTACCTTTGTCTTGTGTTTGTTTGCTCTCTGGGAACCAGGTTTGGGTCAGAACAGTATGTATATATGTATGTATATATGTATATGTATGGGGAAATGTGTGCTAATTCATTACGTATTTGGGGTTAGAGATTTCTTTTTTATTTATTGAGATGTTGAGATGTATTCTGTGTTCTTGGGTGGGCTGTACCAAGAGAGGCTCATTCAGTTTCATTGTACACATGTTGTGCATTGACAATAAAGGTTTGAACTGAACTGAAGCTTAGCCAAAATAATCGTATACAGGTAGTTCTTGCTTGACATCCATTGATTCAGCAACTGTTCAAAGATACGACAATACTAAACAAGGGGGACTTATGACAGTTCCTCGTAGTTATGGCTGTTGCAGCGTTCCCTGGGTTGTGTGATTGTGACTCGGGCACAGTTGTGACGTCAGATTGTCCTGCAGTCATGGAATCATCACTTGGCGTCATCATTTTGCTAAGTGAATCGCTGCCGTTGTTAAATCAGTAACGGTTGTTAAGTGAACCCGACGTTGCTTGTTAGAAGGTCGCAAAAGGGGACACTGCAACGGTCATAAATGTGAGTCAGATGTCAAACTTCCGAGTTTAAAACACGTGGCCACGGGGATGCTACAACTATGAACCACGGTCACAAGTCACTGATTTCAGTGCCATTGTAACTTCAAATGATCACTAAGCGAACGGTTGTAAGTCGAGGACTACCCGTAGATGTAACAGCCTCACTGGTCCCAGCAGATGGGACACCTGAGTTGACAGGGGAGCAGAGGGTATCCGCTTGGCCTGAGGGGAAAGAGAAAGGGCACCCCCCCGCCCCCCGCTTCCCAGCCAGGTGAGCATCCATCAGTAACCACATTAAATTTTTACCCCCCCGTTTCTTTATTTGCCTCATAAAGGGATTCTCCTGCAGCTAGAAAGCGCTATTGACGACGTAGAACTCTCAAATAAAGACGGATTTACGAAAGATGGAAGGTATGTTTCCGTTTTTTTAAAAAAAGAAAAGAAAATCTCTTCCAACTTGGCGTTACTGTAATCTTTATTTTTGCATGTTTCTCTTTTGGCTGGTTTGTTCCAACCGTAATTGGGACCGGAAAATTCCTCCTTAAGCGAGGCATTCCAAGACCCCCGCCTTGATTGTACGACCTTTTTTTTTGCATGCGGTCGTTAAGTATGTCACTACGGTTGTTAAAGCAAGACATCCCGTGCAACCTTCCCTGCCAGCTTCCCTGCGGCTCCGCTCACTCGAAAAAGAAGAAAAGCACTGGGGCGCTGCTGGCGTGAGGGGAGCTGCGCGTGTACACTGGCCCGCCTCTCATGCGGCCTGGTTGCAAATAGGCCGTGGTTCAGTTGTGGACCCCAGATCTAGAGTTTGATGCAGAGCCCTGCAATCGCACTGAGGGGAGGATACTGTTCTGACCTAGGCTTTCCCAAAAAACATTAAGCAGACTGTTTGTCCCGGCAAAACCCCTTTTATTAAACAAAGGTGAGTTTCTTGCATTCGCATTCAGCCAAAGACCTGGCAAACAGTCTTTCGAAGGTCTAATGAGGAGCACGGACCTTATCTAGCCTGGAGAGCTGCCAAGTAAATATTTCCATACGCAGTGCTGACAAGGAAGGACTCGGCACCGAGTCTTTGAGATGCACAGGCAGGTCTTCACATTGCTGCAACGAGAGAATTGTTTCCTGCAAAGGCCCCCTCCCCTTTTGCGCCCCTTTTAATCCCTGTGGAAAGGGTCATTCACCGTCTACCTGAGGCCTTACTCCCACGTCGACCCTTAGTTCGTAATGGTTCTTTCCTTTTGGCAGCTCTGCGCATGAACAGGCTGGGAACCGGCTCCAGCTGCTCACCCGCCTCACTGCTGTCTGACTCCGAAGGCAGCTGATAACTGCCAGACTGCCCTGGCCCCGTCTCTATATCTGATGCAGAGCCCTTGCCCGACCCTTCCTCAGGGCTGGCCCATGCTTCTGCCCAAGCTCCTCACTGTCCGGCTCTCCTGCCAGCTCTGCTAGCCGCTGGCGGGCCACAACAGATATTCTGCCCCATAGTACTACTTACCTTCGATGCTAAGAGCTAAGAGAAAACGGAGAACTCGGGGTGAAGAACAGCCACGATACCACGAAGAGCTAAGAGCAATATAAAGCAGAGGTAGACCCCTTCCCAGCTCACATATGCCGGGCTGAAGACCAGATGCAGTTCGGAGCAGCTCCAGGCGGTGGGTCTCAAGTGGCGCCCATTCCTCTTTTGGGGAGCTCCTGCTAATGAGATCTGCCATATTAGTAAAAATGAGTTCTTTAAGCATAGGTCAGGCATTCGGCCTCTAAAAAGAACATTCCTCCCCTTCCGTATAAAAGAAAGCCTCAAATGTCCCTTCTATCTCCTCCTCGTCCCACTTTGAGAGCCATAGAAGGATGCTGCATTTCTTAGATCTCTAATTAAGCACATTTCATAATTAAAACCAGAGCCTGTTTTCCTTGGCATTTGGGGAAACAACTGAAATAATGCAAGAAAGATCTCTCTCTCTCTCTTTCTCTCTCTCTCTCTCTCTCTCTCTCTCTCTATATATATATATATATATATATATATATCTGTGATGTCTTGGGGTGTGGCACAAAAGCAACAAAGTCACAAAAGTAGGTAAAGTCCCTTTAATTCCTTCAACTTGGCCCCCAATGTCCAGTGATCATCGGTTGGAGAAAAAACTCTCCCAAGAGCAGTTTTTAAAGGAAAGAAATTCACTCCGAACCAAAAGTACATATAAATTATAAATAAAAACCAACACCAACCGCGCTGCAGCAATTAACGAGACAGGGCAGGATAAGGAATTGCAGAATTCAAAAGATAACGAAACACACACGGTTGGGAGGACGCCAGAACCCAGATAAGACTTGACAAACCAAGATAATGCACGCTTTGCTTCCAGCGAGGCTCTGTGCGCAAACAACTTCTTTATCCTGTTTTTCCCAACTGCAGCTGATGAAAGAGATCAGGGCCTTTTCCTCTCCTGTAAGCCATGTTGCTCCCTTCTCCGTTCCTCCCTGTGCGCCTTAGCCTGAAGAGGGGGTGGGCCTGGGTCTTCCTCTGAATGTCCAGCCGGACTGTGCCCTTCCCCTGTTTATTGATATAATCAAAATAGAGATACAAGAACCATTATAAATATAAAAACAAGATTTAATGTCAGGGTTCCAAGTAACAGCCCAGGTGAAATCAAAACTCCCAAGGCCAGTCACGTAGCCAAAATAACTTCCTTTCTTCCGGGAACCAAGTAGGCTCTGAGACAGCACCCGGGAGCCATCCAGATTTGAGAGGAGGACCTGATGGGGGCATGTGATGGTTGTGTGTAATGGGAGGAACTTTGGGGTTAGAATTGGGAAAACCCAGGGAGCTTCAGAGTCGGGTTTTCACTAGCTGTGCCAATACGACATGCCTAATAAATCTATCCTTTGAGGAAGCCTCTGGCTTTGGAGGCTCGATTTCGTATGGGCCGTTCCTTGGAACCTTGACATTAACCCGACACTGTCCCGCGTCGCTCGTGGCAACCCGGAAGACTTTCCAAGTTGGCTCCAGGGTTGACATTCAAATGGTGGGCTCCTGGATGTTCTCTGAGCTTGGTTATTTTCTTCATTACCCAACTATGTGACATCATCAGCGCTAGAAGGGGATGGGTTTGCAGGGAGGAAGAGGAGGAGAAGTGGCAGGGGGGAAGAGGAGGAAGACTGTCCTTGGTCCTCTCTGATCTTCGTCGTTTTCTTTCAGGTGTTTCATTACCCAAACCAGGTGACATCTTCGGGGCATGGATGATGTCACCAGTTGGGTAAGGGAACCTCTGCAAGACAACAGTACAGGTTCACAGAGCACCGAAGGGACTTTGCCGTTGAAACCCGAGCTACAAATACCCTCTCCCATCAGATGAAAATTACAAAAGACTAAATACAGAGTGAAGAGACCCCAGGTTAGCAGCAGAGGCGGTGCCTTCTCTGTCACTGCACCAACCCTTCCAAGCCTGCAGTTTCTCCATCGGGGGCGAAAAATCCAAACTGGTAGAGTCAGGTTTAAGGCCCTTCCTGAAGACCGAAGCGATGGAGGTTGATGTCACCTCCGGCAGCAAGATCTTCCAAAGGGCCCTTGGGTAAAGAAAGTAGTCTTCTCCTAGACCTCGCCAGCTGAACTGCCTGGGCTGATGGAGTTTGTAGGAAGCTGTAGTTTGCGTCGGCAGCACCACAATCACATCCAGAGGTGGGCTTCGAAGATTTTTAGCGACGGGTACTTTGCCCGGTGGCTGGGTGGGCGTGGCCTAGTCAGCCTCCTGTACCACGTGCCTCTCTGGGCTCCGGAGGTGGAAATGGGCCCATTTCTGGCCTTCCTGGAGGCCTGTTTTTCGCCCTCTCTGAGCCTCTGCACATGCCCTGCACTTACCTGCATCCAAAACGAATCATGCGGGGACTCCTGACAGGGGAGGGAAGAGGCAGTGGGGGAGCCAGCCAGGAGTGGGATTTGGGGGTCGTCCGAACGGCCCAAAATCTTAGCTAGGGGCTCTCTCAAACCCCTGCGAACCCCCCCAGCAGCCCAGCCCTGATTGTACCCTGCCCCTTCCCTTCAGCAACTCCAGGGAGTAGCTACTATCCTCCTCTTCCACAGGTCACCCTCCCAACAACCTGTGATTTAAGGCAGGCCGAAACACTGGTGTGTAAACCACATTGACTTCCCTCTTGTTGAACCAGAAATTATTTCAAAATAGTTTCGTTTTAAGACAAGTTGCCCCGTTGATCTTGGCAGGTAAACCTGGGATAAGGTGTTGCAGAACGAGGCTGGGCTTTCTGCTCACTTAGGCTTCCAACGAGGCATAGAGCTATAAAGTCTACCGTTTTGTCTTCCTTTCCTCCCCGTTTTGAATCCAGCGTCAAGCGTGGGTGGCCTAGCGATGATTTGTGGCAAATTGGGGGGGAAAAAATAAAAAGGAAAAAGCAAAATTGGATTTTGTAAGCGAAGGATAGCAGCACGGTTTTCATCCTACAAGGAGAGGGAGGCCGTTTCCTTTCAGGATGTACTAAAAATACTTGCTTAACAGTATGTTTCTGCTTGAATCCCTAGCTACATATTCGACTTGTTCGCAAAGGCTCAAATCACATTCCAAACCCAGAACTCTCTCCTTGAATCACTGGAACAAATTGTGCAGTATTTAGCTGGCCGTAAGTATAGACCCCGTTTTTATGGGGGGAAAAAAATGTCTTGGGGAGGATGGAAAACTGGAATTATAGAATGGAATAAACGGAAGGGACCTTGGAGGTCTTCTAGTCCAACCCCCCCCCCCCCCTGCCTAGGCAGGAAGCCCTACACCACTTCAGACAAACGGTTATCCAATCTCTTCTTTAAAACTTCCAGTGTTGGAGCATTCACAACTTCTAGAGGCAAGTTGTTCCACTGATTAATTGTTGGAATTATCAGGAAATTTCTTCTTAGTTCTAGGCTGCTTTTCTCCTTGATTAGTTTTCACCCGTTGCTTCTTGTCCTGCCCTCAGGTGCTTTGGAGAATAGCTTGACTCCCTCCTCTTTGAGGCAGCCCCTGAGATATGGGAACACTGCTATCATGTCACCCCTGGTCCTTTTTTTTCATCAGACTAGACATATCCAGTTCCAGCAACAGTTCTTCATATGTTTTAGCCTCCAGTCCTCTAATCACCTTTGTGGCTCTTCTCTGCACTCTTTCTAAAGTCTCAACATCTTTTTTGCACCAGGGCAACTAAAACTGGATGCAGTACTCTAGGTGTGGCCTTACTAAGGCCTGGTAGTGTCCCAGGGTTACATGATCACCTTTTACGATCTTCTGAGAGGCCAAGTCAATGGAGAAGCCAGATTTTCTTTACAGCTTTGTTACTTACTTAACCATTGCAGCGATTCACTTAACAACGGTGGCAAGGAAGGTCGTAAAACGGAGCCAAGTTCACTTAAGAAATATCTCACTTAGCAGAAATTTTGGGCTCAGTTGTGGTCGTAACTCGAGGATTACGTGAATTTACTATCCCACCCAACTGCGTTCTGCACCAGCTGAAGTTCTCGAATGCTCTTCAGGGCAGCCCTGTGTGTTGCGCATTGCAGCAGTCTAAGCAAGAGGTCGCAAGAGGGCTTGGGTGACAGTGAGAAGGGCCTCCCAGTCCAGAAATGGGCAGATACTGGTGGATTCGCCAGTTTGGGCTCTGTTGGATCAAGGTAGCCTGACATTTATCCTAAATAAGAGCTCTGTTGCAATGAGTGGCATGTAGGTAGGCCTCGACTTACGGCCACAATTGAGCCCAAAATTTCTGTTGTTCAATGAGACATTTGTTAAGTGGGTTTTGCCCCATTTTACAGCTTTTCTTGTTAAGTGAATCACTGCAGTTATTATGTTAGTAACGTGGTTGTTAAGCGAATCCGTCTTCCTCGTTGCCTTAGTTTGTCAGAAGATCGCAAAATGGGATCACGTGACTCCGGAGCATTGCAACTGTCATAAAATAGGAACCAGTTGCCAAACGCCTGAATTTTCATCCTGCGACCAATGGGGATGTTGCAAGGGTCGTAAAGTCACTTTTTCCACTCTAGTTGTAACTTCAAACTGTTGTAAGTCGAGGACTTACCTGTGCTGAGCTGAGCTTTGAAACTGCCCGGGAATCACGGTTGGTGTAAACAAGGCCGTAATATTAACGGGAACTGGTTGCTTTGATAACATTATGGTAAGGGATATTAGCTCCGTAAAATGCCCAGATCTGAGTTAGACTAGGGGTCCCCATATCCTGGTTTACGGACCGCACCGGGCAGCGGTATGCCAGAAACTGGGCTGCGCAAACAAGCCAAGCCCCATCCGTGGGATGCACACAGCAGCACGCGAAACCTTGCCCCTTTTCATGGAACCAGTCCCTTGGAGACCATTGAGTTAGTCAATGGTCACCCTTCCATCCATTTAGCTTCTCTCTCTTCCTGTTGAAATTTTCCCCAAATCAGCTTAAATCTAATTAAAAATCTAGGGGAGTTTTTTTTTTTAAAAAAAAAAACAAGTTTTATTGATTTTACAAACAAAACAAAACAAAACATCATTAAACATTAAAAACATAAAACCTCTTTCCATTGTAGATCTTTACAAGGCAGGTAACATATTGCTTTATATCACGTACTTATAATTTATCCCATTTCCATATAAACACATAAATTCCCTTTACCAAATTCCACATTGTTTCTCTTTAATCATTATTCAATCATATTTCCTTTCTAATTTATCTGGTATTCAGTCATCACATTTATATTTTCCTCTGGCTTGTTTATAATTATTCTCATCTAGTCTTCCTCCGAGATTTTATTATTTAATTCTTAATTAAACACACACACATAAGACATCAACATAAAAACATAAAACTTTCTTCTAGAAAGTAACTTGGCCCCAGATTACCTCTTTTTGTATGGACTTCAATTGAGTTCATGCTCTTCTTATATACCATTACCTATCTTATTTACCATTCTATATCTATTATATAACTCCTCTCCAAAATCTAGGGGAGTTTTAAAAGCATGCCTAGCCACATCTGCCAGCGGAACAATTAAAAGCTGCTTTTTTTTTTGTATTTAACCATTAATGATGGATCATTTTGAAACCTTTTCTTTAGAATTTGTTAAGCGTTTCTGATAGGTTTTGTCCCGCTAAATCCAATTTTCTGTTTCCAGATAATCCACTTAAGCACTCCTCTTAAAACCGTTTAAAGACTTTGATCACATGTGTATGCCAGTCAGTATTAAAGAACATTAACCCCCCCCAAACCTTTGAGATGCATTAATGAATTTGTTTCCTACATTGATTAATTTATTTCCTACATTAATTAATTCCTAATTTGATGGATTTGTTTCCTACATTGGCCGTAAGGTGAACCCTGTCAAAGTGTGAACATAGTATCTGAGTCATATCAAATTAACCAGAAATCGTAAAGATGTTCCGGAGCAGTTCATGTGTTTGTAACCTTTCAGTTGTTTGAATTACAAACTGATGAGGTTGTTTCCATTTTTAAGGATACGTGTGTTGTGTTTTCCCGTCCTGCCCCATTTGCTGGTGATCTGGTGTTTGTTGGGGCGTCTCATATCATTTAATTGCACAGCTGAAGGACGTCCTCTTATTACACATGCTCCCCAGTTGGTCACACGCTCAACGCACAGTTCTGGTCATTAGTCACACTTGAATCACATTCAACGGAAGACTGAGGCACAACCGGTTCTTTGGAAGACCCAGAGACCCGGTGAATATGAAAGAACAGCAAAACCTGACAGGTTAATCCATCAAAATAAAGCTGGAAGGGACTTTGGTGGTCTTCTAGTCCAACCCCATCTCAAGCAGGAAGACTATACCATTTCAGACATGTGACTGTCCAGTTCCCTTCTTAAAAACCTCCAGTGACGGAGCACCCATGATTTCTTGATCCAAGCTGTTCCACTGGTTAATTGTCCACGCTGTTTGGAAGTTTCTCCTAAATCCCTGGTTGCTTTTCTCCGTGATGAGTTTCCATCTGTTGTTTCTTGTCCTGCCTTCTGGTGCTTTCAAAACAAGCTGACCCCCTCTTCTTTGGGGCAGCCTCTCAAATGCTGGAAGACTGCTGTCATGTCACCCCTGGTCCTCCTTTTCTCTAGACTTGGCCATACCCAATTCCTTTAACCGTTCTTCATTTATAACGTACTTTTGTCCTTTCTCACGTGCATACAAACACTCATTCACACTTACTGACGTCCTTCCCAGCTAGGCTGGCAGACATTAGCCAGAGGGATGGCGGCCATCCGGTCTGGATCCAAAGACAACTCAAACAGTGGGTGGGCTTCTGGACCCCTTTTCTCTCCCAAAGAGTGTTAGGGATACACCCTAGCAGAATCTGCACGGCAGTCAGGCAGGCAGGCAAAATATGTGAGATAAACGTTTTTGTAGCTTACACTCAGTAAAAACAGATACACTGTGCTAGTTAAATAGTTTATTCCAGTAAGAGTTTTAGCATAGTCAAAAAACAGTCCATATATCATTCACTTATTCAGTCCGTCCGGGGATTATTCAGTTGCAAATTCCAGTGTCGAAAAAGAGGTCAGTAAACTTACAAATATCAGTCCAGTAATATATCTCCTCGCAGTAGAGATATGAAGAAGTCAAACCTCCTTTCTTCCTCCAACATTCAGCAACTCAGCAGTAGGGAAACAGGCAGTTAACAAACCATCAATCCATCAAGCCAGCAATCGTCAGGAATCGTCAGCAATTGATCAGGTTCTCTTGCTCCCTCTTATGGCGGTTCAACACCACACCCAAAATTACATGCTTTGCAGTTTAAAGTGACACACACTTAAACTTACTATCATAGTTTATATATATTATTTTACCCAAACTACGTTAGTTAACCTATGTTATTCCTAACAAAGACTTTGCTTTGTTGATTGACAAGATTGGCAACTACTCTTACCTTGTTGATTGACAAATCTGGTAGCTGTTAATGGGATCTGGGGAGGAGTTTTCCATGTGGTCAGATCCAAGCTCTTTTGTCTGGTTCAGGTGAAAATTTTTTCCACTTGTTTTCGTGAGTTCTAGCCTTGTCTTAGGTCCCCAAAAAACAATTGGGTGACTTTGGGCCAATCAACAAGAGGCTGTGAGTTCTAGTCCTGCCTTCAGCATGAAGGCTGGCTGGCTGACTTTGAGCCAATCACACTCTCTCTCAACCTATCCCACCTTACAAGTTTGTTGTGGGGAAAATAGGAGGATGAAGGAGCCTTGAGTACATTTGTCACCTCGAGTTGTTTATAAAAATAAGGGCAGGAAATAATAAAATTATCTCCCAGGGGGATCCTTTGGACAAGATTCCTGGCTTTTTTATCCACTCTACGTGCCTGCTTCATTTTTAGGTATGGCAGCTTCACCTTAGTCTCACCCTGTGCATTGAAATCTTCTTTATAATTTCCACGTAACTTTTCACCTGCCTCAGAGCAACAAAGATGATTGGGAGATTGGACGCTTCCAAGGCTGGACTGGCTACTCATTACTGTCAATTTTGGGGAGAGTGGTTGCAGATGAATTGATGTATCTGGCCCTTAAGGCGTATGCTTGTTTATATAGGCAGTACTCGACTTCTCGTAGAGCCCGGAATTCATGTTGCTCAGCAAGAAATTTGCTAAGTGAGTTTTTCCCCATTTTATGACTTTTCTCACCACGTTTGTTAAGCGGCTCACCGCGGTCGTTAAATTAGTCACACGGTTGTTAAGTGAATCCGGCTTCCCCATTGACTTCGCTTGTCAGAAGATCACAAAATATGACTACACGGCCCTGGGACACTGCAAAGATCATAAATGTGAGTCGGTTGTCAAGCATCCAAATGTAAATCACGTGGCCAGGTGGATGTTGCAATGGTCGTAGGTGTGAAAAACGATCATGTCCCTTTTTTTTCGTGCCGTTGTTGCTTTGAATGGTCAGTAAATGAACAGTTGTAAGCTGAAGACGACTTATACTGTGTCAAAGTAGTTGGAATTTTAGATAATTGTATTTAACACCATCTTCTAAACTTCCTGTATGGTAGTGAATAACAAAACGGGAAACAGTATGTTCAAAGTATATTTGTCATGTTTTCTGGGATATATAGAAATATTGTTTTCATGCTTTTTTGTTCTAGGTTCTGGGATATTCACTAACACTGCTGGACTGCATAAATTTGCAGATGTAATTCAGGTAAACTCTCAGTTCTTGAATTAAATATATAAAAATACTGTATATTTTTATTCTTGGTGTTCCACCATTCTTGATGTTTTCTTAACCACCACTAGATGGCTATCCAAGCTGTACTTTACACTGAATTAATCGGGACAAAAAAGATATACTGTTTGGTCAAAAAGAAATTGACCAAAATTGTTACATTACTATTCCTCACACTCAGCAACCTTAAGATGTCTGCACTTCCAATGCATCCTGGCTAAGGATTCTGGGAGTTGAATTCCGCGCATCTTAAAGTTGCTGAGTTTGAAAAAAACAATGCTTTGGATTCTACAGTGATATGTAATGTGGACACATCCATGATTGATTAATTGATTATGCACTATCAAGTTGTTTTCAACCCCAGCGTAGTACACACTACATATATAGATGTGTATATTAGCAAAAATAAACAGAAGTAGCTCTTTCATTGCACCAATTAAAGGCCTGGAGACTAAAACATATGAAGAACGGTTGCAGGAACCGGGTATAACCGGTCTAGAGGAAAAAAGGACTAGCGGAGACATGATAGTACTATTCCAGTATTTGTTGAGGTTCCACAAAGGAGAGGCAGTCAACTTATTTTCGGAAGCACCAGAAGGCAAGACAAGAAGCAATGGATAGAAACTAATCGAGGAGAGAAGCAACATGGAATTAAGGAGAAACTTCCGAACAGTGAGGACAGTTAACCAGTGGAACAACTTGCCTCCAGAAGGTGTAGGTGAAGAGACTCCATTGAAATGGTATAAGGTTTCTTGCTTGAAGGCTAGATTAGAAGACCTCCAAAGTCCCTTCCAGCTCCGTTCTGATTGAAATACGCTTTTTCCTCCTCGTCAAGAGCCCAATGATTTTACGAACTGCATTAGCATAATTAACTGCAAATCCGGTGGCTCCCCAATTCCTATCTTGTAATTGCATCGATAGTACAGTAGGTGATTCTCAAATCAACCCATTTTCTTTTTTTTCTTTTTTTTTTTTGAAACAAATTTTATTAATTTTAAAGACAAACAAAACATCATTAAACATTGGAAACATAAAACCTCTTTCCTTTGTAAATTTTTACAGGGCAGATATAAAATTATTTTAGACAGCATAATTCTAATTTATCCCATTTCCATATGGACACGTAAATATCTTTTAGCAAATTTCTCGTTATTTCTCTTTACTCTTATTCAATTACATTTCTTTTCTATATTTATCTATTTTATAGTCATCATATTTATATTTTCCTCTGACTTGTTTACAATTATTCTCATCTGACATTCCTCCAAGGTTTTATTAATTCTCAAATCAACCCATTTTCTAGGGTTTGCACAGTTCATTAATATCTAAACTCATTAAAGAGGCAGGAGTACAGCCAGGCCTCATTGAACATCCTCTTGTAAAGCAACCATTCAAAATTAACAACTGCACTGAATGAAGGGGACTTCATAGCAATAGCCCTTAAGACTTATATGCCGCTTTATAGTGCTTTACAGTCTTCTTTAAGCGGTTTACAGAGCCAGCCTCTTGCCCCCAACAATCTGGGTCCTCATTTTACCCACCTCGGAAGGACGGAAGGCTGAGTCAACCTTGCCAAATTGTAGGCAGCTGGCTGCAGAAGTAGCTTGCAATACTGCACTCGTAACTACTGCGCCAGAAAGGTCTTTGCAGTGGTGGCCGTCGCAGCATTCCCCCCCCCCATGGCCATGTGATCGCAATTCAGGCGCTTGCAACCCGCTCGCAAATGCAACGTTGCAGCGTCTTGCAGTCGCACAATCGCCTTTGGCGATCTTCGGTTTCTGATAGGCAAAGTCCATGGGGAAGGCGGGTGGAGGTTGCAAATAACAACCCCGTCATCGTGGGATGCTGCCACCACAATGTGAAATCCTCCTTAATGATGGCAGGTGGGCGTGGCACAACCGTGGTCATAAGTCAGGGCAGTCACGCAATCTTTTACCCTAGGATTGCGATGGGAGTTCCTAGTTCCAACTACAGGTAGTCCTTAACTTCCAACAGTTCATTTAGTGACTGCTGGAAGTTTATCACTGAGAAAAGTGACCGTTTTTCACACTTAACGGCCGTTGCAAATATCCTCATGGTCAGGTGGACCCAAATTTAGATGCTTGGCAACAGGTTCTTATTTATGTATTTATTTTATTGATAAATTAATACTGCTGCCTATTCAACCAGGGCGACTCGAGGCGGCTTACGCAATGTAAAACCTTATTAAAACTAAAATTAAAACCAGAAAACAATAAAAACTAACCAAAAGATTCAAATAAATTAGTAAAGTACAATAGAACACAATTTGGGAAAAGCAAAAACCAACACACACACACACATACACACATACACACACACTCCCTGATGACAGCAGATCACACCAGCCATTTGATGGGCTCCATCCCTCTCTGGGTTCCCCAGACCCGCTGGCAAAACCAGATCTTCAGTGCCTTTCGGAAGAGTATTAGTGAGGGGGCCATTCTAATCTCTGGGGGAATGATATCTCAGAGAGACGGAGCCACCACGGAGGAGGCCCTTCTGGGTCCCACCAGGTGTATCTCCCTCAGGGGTGGGACCCGCAAGATTCCCTGCCTCCTCACTCTAATGCAGGGGTAGTCAACTTTTTTATACCTACCGCCCACTTTTGTATCTCTGTTAATAGTAAAGTTTTCTCTAACCGCCCACCGGTTCCACAGTAATGGTGATTTATAAAGTAGGGGACAGAACCGCTACCGCCCACCATGAAAGCTGGAACGCCCACTCGTGGGCGGTAGGGACCAGGTTGACTGCTCTAATGGGTCGGGTAGAAGTGACCAGCCAGAGGCGCTTTATGCCGGTTGCAGCGTCCCGTCCCGTCCCCCGCGGATCCTGCGAACACCTTTCGCAACCTTCTGAAAAGCGAAGCCAGTGAGGAAGCCAGATTCACTTAGCCACCGGATTATGAACAACTGCACAACGATTCACTTTAACAACTCGCGGCAAGCAAAGTTGCAAAATGGGACAAAACTCACGTTAACAGATGTCTCACTTTGCGACATAAACGTTGGCCTCAATTGGGGTCGTAAGTCGAGGACTGCCTGTACAAGGGCTGAGCAAGGACTAAAATGTGCTGAGCAAGGACAGTTACAAATAGCAACTGTGAGAGGGATCTCGGAGTCCTAGTGGACAATCATTTAAATATGAGAGTGTGCTGCAGCTGCCCCAAAATCCAACAGTCCTCGGTTGCATAAACAGGGATAGAATTAAGGTCACATGAAGTGTTAATCCTGATTTATAAGGCCACACTTGGAATCCTGCATCCAGTTTTAGTTGCCACAATGAAAAAAAAGATACTGAGACCCAGAGTTCAGCGAAGAGCAGCGAAGATGATGAAGGAACTGGAGGCTGAAACATATGAAGAACGGTGGCTGGAACTAGGTATGTCTAGTCTTATGAAAAGAAGGACTTGGGGTGATATAATAGCTGCGTTCCAATATCTCAGGGGCTGCCCCAAAGAAGAGGAGGGAGTCAAGCTATTCTCCAAAGCACCTGAGGGCAGGATAAGAATTAATCGAGAGAAGCAACTTTAGGAGAGATTTCCTGACAGAACAATTAACCAGTGGAACTGCTTGACTCCAGAAGTAAATACTCCCAACACTGGAAGCTTTTAAGAAGAGATTGGACAACCATTTGTCTGAAATGGGCTTGGGTTTCCTTCCTAAGTAGGTTGGGCTAAGTAGGTTGGGCTAGAAGACCTTCAAGGTCCCTTCCAAGTCTGCTATTCTATTAGGTTAAAACAAATTGAGCAGGTTATGGAAACAGAGCTACTGGGTGTAGAAGCGACCTGACTAAAGAATCTTATCTCCCTTCGGATACTTTAATAATATATTTTTGCATAAAACTACGTTCTCTTCCACCCTTCTGTTCTTTCAGTCCCCCTCAAGGGCTGCTCTGATCGTCCTCATTATCATTTTAAGACATTCAAAAATGAAAATGGTAAAAGGAATAGTAAATTCGGAGCGAAGCACTAGGCGTTCTCACAGCAGGAGCCAAAAAAAATATCCCCTGTTCTTTAATTCCAGCTATTTGTGTTTTTTTTTATGCCATCTGTATGCAGCTTATACTTTGCAGTATGAAAAAAAGTCCATGAAAACAATCCGAATTTGTCAAAAATAGCCCCAAAGGCTAGCAGGAGGATCTTACTTGGGTCACAGACCCACAAATTAATGCTTCTTACTCGACCACAGTCGAGCCCAACATTTTCTGTGGCTGAGCAAGACATTGGTTAAGTGTGTTTTGCTCCATTTGACGACCCTTCTTGCCACAGTTGTTAAGTGAATCACTGCATTTGTTAAATTAGTAATTGGGTTGATAAGTGAACCTGGCTTCCCCATTGACTTTGCTTGTCAGAAGTTCGCAAAGCGGGATAAGGTGACTCTGGGACTCTGCCAGGCACCTGAATTTTGATTACATGGTCATGGGGATGCTGCAAAGATCATGAAAAACAGTCCTCAGGCACTTTCTCCAGTGCCGTTCTTAACTTTGAACACTCACTAAATGAATTGTTGTAAATCAAGGACTAACTCTACTGGGAAATTCCTGAGGCATCTGTTGGAAACCTAAGAGGAACTGTTTAAGATATGCAAAATGGGCCAGTAATGGTCCCCATTCCCACTATAGAGGTCAGTGGTGGCTGAAAGTCAGGCTAATCATGATAAGAAACCGATGTTAAATCACCCTCAGATCACAAATAGATCTAAAACAGAATGAGACTGGCTTTTACCGGAAGTCAGAAAATTCATTAAGAAAAACATCCCTACCAATACAGAGAGAATATTTGCATCTCAGGGTTGGACTTTGGGGTTCCAGGTGCTCTCTGAGCTTGGTTGTTTTCTTGCGGGCGTTTCATTACCTGACTAGGTAACATAATCAGTGTTAGAAGTGAGGGGGCTTGCTCTCCGCTTATATGCAAGTGGATTGCCCTGTTGGTGTCGGGAGAGTTCTTCGTGGTTCCTTGTATATTGTTGGATTGTTTATCTCGGTAGTTCCTTGATTTGGGGTTACAGGTTGTTTGTTGGTCTAATATTCATCTCGGTGTTGATCTCTGCTTATCTGGATGTTGATTGCTGGCTGGTGAGGAAGAGTTTTGGTCTTTCTGTTTCCTTTTTAGCTTTCTGATTGTCTCTTTTAAATGGTATATATATTGTATATGTTGTTTATCCCTATGTGCTTGTTGATGGCTGATCAGACAGGAGTGCCAAGCTTCCAGGACTCCTCTAAGGCTTTTGGATTTAGCTTAGTCTGAGATGCTTGGTCTCCTGGCAATTGGCCCAAAGTCATCCAGCTGGCTTTCATGCCTAAATTGGGGCTAGAACTCACCGTCTCCTGGTGATTGGCTCAAAATCACCTAGCTGGCATTCATGACGAAAATGGGACTAGAACTCACAGTCTTCTGGCAACCACCCTGTTGCCTTAACCACCAGCCTAGGCTGACTATTGGTTACTTTTTTCCAAAATAAATAAACTGCTTTAAAAGTGCACATTTTAAATGTTGTTTTTAGTTTCTGATTGCGGAGTTAAGGCCATGAAAGACCACCGAGCCAGCAAAGTCATAATCATGAAATCTTTTTTGCTGATAAGGGGAAGGCATTTTCAAATATTACTTTACTAGGAACGTGGCTGGATTTGTCACCCATTTAATTCTAGTTTTTTCTTCTCTTGTAGACTGTTTTTAATCTTGGTCCATCAGAAGGGGTGCCTGACTGTGAGGTATCAAAATACTATAAGGTAAGTAACACCTTTGTAAGGCAGTGGCATATTCTTTAGCTCAGTAGCCCCCAACCTTTTTTGTGCCACGGCCCGGTACCGGCATCCCAAAATGATCCGCGGCCCGGTACTGGCATCAGCACGCATGACAAGGCAAGGTGAGCTGAGCGACCGGCCAGCCAGCCGTCCCCCGCTTCTCCCCGCCACCTTCAACTCCTCCTTTGTACCATTGTCGATGGGCTTCGCTTCGGGACGGTCGCTCGGCTCGCTTTGCCTTGGGTGCTGAAAGAATCCTCGCGCCTTAGTTTCGTTTGAAGCCCCCCCCACTTCGATGAAACTAAGGCACGAGGATTCCTTCAGGACCCAAACGCCGCTTTCCAACCAGAAAAGCTCACCCGGAAGCACTTTCTCATCAAACAAGATGGCGGCGCCCAGCAAACTGGTGGCCCGTTAGGAAATGTTCCACGGACCGGTCCCGGTCCACGGACCGGTGGTTGGGGACCCCTGCTTTAGCTGCTAGAAAATCAGAATATCATTTGCAAATCCTTTCAGTAGGCTAAGCAAGAGTTATTTGAAGTGAAATGGCACCTAAATTGAACACATTACATTAATTTAAATGGCCACTCCATTTTAAAGAAATGGAAAGCACAGGTTTCACAGCTCTTCAGTTTAACCACCGGGGTTTTAAAAGACTTTTTTTGTACCACCTTTATTATTTTCGTAAATAACTGAAGAGGGTGAACGTATCTAATATTCCTTCCTCCTCCTATTTTCTCCACAACAGCAGTCCTCTGAGGTGGTATGGGCTAAGAGAGAGAGGAGTGGCCTAAAATCATAGTCTCCTTGGGGTTGGCTTTCATGCCTAAGGCAGGATTAGAACTCAGAGCCTCCTGGCTCAAAATCACCCAGCAGCTTTCATGCCTAACGTGGGACGAGAATTCACTGTCTCCTGGTTTCTAGCCTGGTCCCTTAGCTGCTAGATCAAACCGGCTGCTAGTTACTCTTTTCTAAACTTCAGTCCATCTGTCTGAGCTGAAGGCTAAATGCAGACCCAGAGAGCTGCCCAAGGAGCTGCGGATCCAGTTCCACAGAGGAATTATTGAGTCTGTCCTCTGCACCTCTATAACTGCCAGGTTTGGTTCTGCTACCCAACAGGACAGACACAGACTTCAGAGGATAATTAGGACTGCAGAAAAAGAAAAAACCAATTACTACCAACCTGCCTTCCATGGAGGACCTGTATCCTGCACGAGTCAAAAAGAGGGCTGTGAAAATATTTACAGACCCCTCATATCCCGGACATAAACTGTTTCAACTCCTTCCCTCAAAACGACGCTATAGAGCCCTGCACACCAGAACAACCAGACACAAGGACAGTTTTTTCCCGAACGCCATCACTCTGCTAAACAAATAATTCCCTCAACATTGTTCAACTATTACAAAGTCTGCACTACTATTACCATTATTATTCTCATCACTCCTTATCACCCATCCCCTCCCATTTGTGATTGTAGGACTGTAACTTTGTCGCTTGTATCCTTACCATTTATATGGACTGTTTCCTAGTATAATTGGATTGTTGATTGTACCCTATGACTGTCATTAAGTGTTGGACCTGATGATTCTTGATTCTTAACGAATGTATCTTTTCTTTTATGTACACTGAGAGCATTTGCACCAAGACAAATTCCTTGTGTGTCCTGTCACACTTGGCCAATAAAGTATTCTATTCTATTCTATTCTATTCTATTCTGTTCTATTCTATTCTCTATTCTATTCTCTATTCTCTTCTATTTTATAATCTCTTCTCTATTCTCTATTCTATTTTATAATCTATTCTATTCTCTTTCTTCTATTCTATTCTATTCTATTCTCTATTCTCTATTCTCTATTCTATTCTATTTTATAATCTATTCTATTCTATTCTATTCTCTATTCTCTTCTATTTTATAATCTATTCTCTATTCTATT